CCCCAAATTCCAAGTCAGTCAGCTCTAGGCCCTGAAAATCATCATCCAAACAGGAACTATAGAATAATTTTATCCTTAATGGGGATGTCCTAGGTTAATAATGTTAATATAAGCAGTTTCCAAAAGCAAACTGCTAATGAGAAAGCTTTTCTCATATTTATTTGGGGCATTAAGAAGAGGAAGAAAAAATGGGACCGAAATAACAGAACTCCTGCGAGAAGGAAAAGTGTGGTGGATTAACTCAGCTTCCCACAGAAAGGGGGTTGAAATCACGAGGTTTGCACTACCATGTAATTTCATCCTTCAGATCCAAATTATAGTAACTGCACTGAGATGCCAGAGTCTGTGGGACTGTATGTTGAAGCTGAAAGACAGCTTAGGTAGGAATTGTGCAGATGATGGTTATAATCTTTGAAGAAAAACAATCTGGCACTGCTTGAAAAGAACACTGTGGACAAAGAGGGCCTCGAAATGCAGCACATGGTATATATCAGTGAATCCAGAACTAACTGGACTTTTTTTTTTTGCCTAAATTCTAAGGTTGTATATATTGCATATGCCTTCTAGTTGGTAGATTAAGCAACAAAATGTTGACTTGCAAAGTAGTCTCTAGATTTGAAATCCTAGCTTGCCTAGAATAGAATGGACATACCCAGGGCAAAACTTTGATTGCACTTGTGGCATACAAGCCAAGTGTGCCAAAACTGACCAGTACAGTTCTTACTCTTAGCAGAGAATGCTGTATTTGGCATGGTGTGTGTGACTAAGTTTGATCATTTTTTTAATTGTACTAAAAAGTGTTATGACATCTTTAGATTAAAAAGGCACAGCAATTAAAGGCACATCATTAAAAAGGCACAGCAAGGATGTTCTTCCTGCGGCAACTTGGGAAGTTTAAGTTATCCCGGGAGCTCTTGGTACAGTTCTACAGGGGAATCATTGAGTCTGTTATCTGTTCCTCTATAACTGTCTGGTTTGATTCCGCAGCCAAACAGGACAGACTCAGACTCCAACAGATAGTTAAGTCTGCAGAAAGGATAGTTGCACCCCGCCTGCCTTCTATAGAAGAACTATATACTGTACTGTGAGGGTCAAAAGGAGGGCAGAGAGGATATCTGCAGACTCTTCCCATCCTGGGTATAG